AAAAAAGCATTGCTGTATAGCAAATAAGTCCGGCTCTCTGGGCCAGATGCTGCCTGTACCAGGAAGAGATGTCCCCGTCCTCCAGGGAAATCACACAGACATTACAAACAAGCACGCTCTTATCAAGCAGGAGAGGTCTGGGTCGAGGGGCTGGGGGGAAGGAGTCTCTTTAAAACCAGCAGGCTAATGTGGGCAAGAAAGCCTAGGAAATGTGGAAGAAAGGGCTTAAGAGATATGTGAGCATGAGGAGTCCTTTGTGGAAACTTTGATCCTGGGATAGAATAAGGATAAATGCACGAAGACAGCAGAGGCCCTCCAACTTGGCGTATGCATGACAGGGAGGGACACAGGGAGGGTGCTTCCCCTGAGTGCACCGCAGGAGCAGGGACTCGCCCTGTGCAGCTCTGGGGAAGCAGAAGCCCTTGCAGTCCCCACTTGGTGATGAGAACAGAGAAGCAGAGAGAGAAGGTGGCCATGACCAAGGTCACCCGGGGCAGGGACTGGTGGGAGAAAGGCGGGGACCTGCCTGTGTCTGATCAGGTTTCCCGGCCTCTCATGGGATACGCAGCCCCAGGCTTGGTGGCAGGTAGTGAGGACAGCTTGCTATACAGTAGCTAACACAGAGCAGCCACACAAGAAGTGGTTTTCATAGTCATAACAAGAAGAAGAATGATAAATAGGGTTTAAGAAAAGAGATTTCCTAAAGAAAAAAAGGGTATCCGGCCGGGCGCGGTGGCTCACGCCTGTAATCCCAGCACTTTGGGAGGCCGAGGCGGGCGGATCACGAGGTCAGGAGATTGAGACCATTCTGGCCAACATGGTGAAACCCTGTCTCTACTAAAATACAAAAAAATTAGTCAGGCGTGTTGGTGCGCAACTGTAGTCCCAGCTACTCGGGAGGTTGAGGCAGGGGGAACTCCTGAACCCAGGAGGCAGAGATCACAGTGAGCCGAGATTCTGCCACTGTATTCCAGCCTGGTGACAAAGTGAGACTCTGCCTCAAAAAAAAAAAAAAGAAAAAAGGAAAAAGAAGAAAAGAAAAAAGGGTACCTAACCCATTAGCTCATCCGGTCCGGCCCAGCACCAGAATGTGAACCCCCACCGGAAGCAGGACGGCTGACCACCCTGGGCCACCTCCCCCATAACAGGTTGCCCTGTCCATAGCAGGGACAGGACCTCGTGCCCGGCCAGTGCCTTGGGACACAATCCTAGGTGTCTTCATGGTAATTTCTCTGGCCCTGGGCTCCTTATGATAAACCTGCCCGGTCTCAGAGTGGGAGGAGCTGGTCAGCAGAGCTGGGGGCTACTCAGAGGCCACCCACAGCCCTCCAGCACTCTAGGAGGAGTGCCTGGGGGGCCCACTCACACACAGGGGCTGAAGGGAGGGACAAGAACAAGGAGACTACTAAGTGTAACTCTCTGTTTCGACAGAAATTAAGTAGGGAAGGAAAAGGGGGAGGGGCAGGAGGGAGAGATGGGGGAAGAGAGGATGGGGAAGAGAGGATTGGGAAGGAGAGGGGAAGGGACAGGCGCTCAGAGGCCACCCCTGTCTGAACCCTGCAGAGTCTCGGTGATGAGTGGTCGCCTTTGCACTTTCTTCCCATGCCGCTCCCTTTGTTCAAGCCCTCGTGGTCCCTCAACGCTTTTTTCCTGCGTGCTCCATTCGCTCAGGCCCTCCTGGTTCCTGACTTAGAGCTGCTCATGCAGTGGCTCCTCAACCCACCAGTGTCCCCAGGGGCGCCTGTGTCTTTGCAAACCCACTTGTCACACTGTGGCCAGCGTGGCTTTCTAAGACATCAATCTGGCCACGCTCATAGTCTGCCTTCTGGGTCCCATGCCGAGGACAGCATGCCACATGCTGCGCCCTGGGCCTGGGCCCTCTCCGGGAATGGGTTGAGATCTCCACCCACTCCTGCCGGCCGCGACCTGAGGGAAGCTCCCATCAGCCCCATAACACTGCACTGCAAGTACCCACCTCTGTATCTTCCCCTTCCCTTCGATGGGGACATCTCCAGGGCTCACCTCCTACGAACAAGCAAATCTGTATCATATCTGTCATTAACAAGTGAAGAGTGGGGCGAGAGCTCCCGGCAGCCCCGGGCTGCCCATCGTGTCATTGTAGATGCTGCGTAGACAGGTGTGCATCTACCCAGTGCAAGATCCCCAATTTCCTTTAAAACGCATCTACTCAGACCCATGTGCTACAGGTGGGCAATTGCTACAACAATGGATGGGTGTCAAATTAAGCCTCGACGTTCGCACAAAGTCGAAATGTTTAGAAAATATTATTAAAATGTATAATGAAATTATTAGCCAATTCAATCTTTGGTCTTTCCATCTGCTTGAATTCAGGTTTACAATAGCAAAATTCTGCTATTCCTCTGACGCCAGATGTCATTAACAGATGAGAGTGAGGGGGAGGGAGAGGAGAGGAGAGGGAGAGAAAGAGAGGGAGGGAGGGAGGGAGGAAGAGGGAGAGAGAGAGAGAGAGAATGTCCTTAATGTTAACTCTCTTTCATTAAATGTGCCTACAGGGACAATCAAGCTCTCAGAAACTTCCCATCAGAAAATGCATGGGGCAGGTGTGCCCAGCACATGGTAGGCAATCAATAAATATGTGTTACATGAATTATTAAGCAAATATACAGAAAATAGAGAAGTCAAATGCAAAGACATTTTGTACTTTTTTGATACTGGTTTTCAAAGAACACTAGAGGTCTGTGGGCCACTATCATCCCATTTGAAGGCAACATGTGCTGGGCGGGGACTGCAGGCTGCGGACAAGCTATGGGGTGCAGGAGCTGGCCACGCCACTTTCTCTTTGTAAAGTGGAGTCGCAGTTTTCATCTGCAAGACAGGAGGACGGGATGATGAAACCACCCCAGGAGTCAGGTTGCTGACAACGGCGACACGGCCCAGGGCAGCACCAGCCCAGGGTGGTGTCTGGGAGGCAGCAGCTCTGACACTAGCAGGATGCCCCTGTGTGCCCAGCACAATGAGACCCTGGGAGGGGAGGGCAGGGCTCAAACTCTGTGAAGTGTGGGGACACAGAGGTCAAAATCCCAACCATCCTAGGGCTCTGGCTTTTATCTGAGCGCAGAGAGAGATCATTCAGGAGAATGAATAATCTCCTGCCAGGCACACGATGCACCTGCCCCTTCCTCCACTGGTGCTGCTGGCGCTGAGCTGGGGCTGCATCAGACCCATCCAGGACCGCTTTGCTCTGCACGGGGCTCCCAGCCGAAGCTGAATCTCAGACCCCGAGTGAGAGATGCCTCCTGCCTCACATAGAGCCTCTCCAACCCTCAGCCTATCAGAAAGACCCAACAGAAAGACAGAAAGATTACCAGAAACATGGGCCCATCAGAAAGACCCAAGACCCAGCATAGACGCCAGGAGGTAAGCGCCAGGGGTCCCTCCTTTCCCCAGCCTGACAGTGTGGGAGTTGTCTGCGGAGCCTTCTCGTTTGAAGTCTGAGACTTGAGGGGTGAGCACTTTGCCGGCAAACTTACCTGGGTTGGTCCCTGGCCCTACCCATCATGGCTGAGACTCAATTTCCTCCGTGGGAGCCACAGTGCTGGTCAGGGAGATGTGGAGGAGATAAATGGGGTGATGGGTGGGAACTAGTCTGACTTGCTTCCTTGCTATAGCATTTTGCTTATTAAGAACTGGCTGAACCCTGACTTTGTGCCGAGCTCTGAGGGGAATGCAAGAGAAAGACAACTCCCATTATCCCCACCTTTTTACTTCTCTCTGTACCAGAGACAAACGCCTGTAACTCCACAACAGACTGCCCCTGTTCACTCCGTGAGTCCCCAAGCACTCTATTTTTCGTGTCTGGTTCACAAAACTTTCCATCTACATGTAAAGTCCTTATTTTCTCACAAACTCTTTGGAGACAGTGGGTCTGCTAGGCCCAAAATCCCTTTAGCTTGAACAAAGGAATTGACCTCAGGTTCTGGAACCTATGCTGTGTAGAGTGAGGGCCCTTTCGGAATCCAGGAGGCCATCTGGAAGGATCCCAGACCACACAATGGAGCAATGCGTGTATCCCCATGTCTGCAGAATGTGTGCAGGACTGAGGTCATGAACAGACATTCCCATCAGAGCTGTCCCCTCCCTGGAGATGGGCTCTCATGCCTCAGTATTTTGGGGCTATTTCCTACCTTTGTCCCTGTAACAAACTTCTATCCACTTTCAGCAGCCACTCAACAGCTTCACCCCCTCTATGAAGCCTTCCTTGAATGCCCCCACCCAGTGGCTTCTGAACCTACAGCACTCGGCGGGGGGCTCTGTCCTTGCTCCCCAGCAGTGTTTAATTCCCAGAGGACACAGCCACTTCCTACTAGACAAACAACTGCAGGGAGACCTTGTCTTTGCGTCTCAGCCTTTTAAACGCCTTGCAGAACGCCTGACTCCAAAGCAGGTGCTCTCCAAAGATGGCTGAACAAACACATGAAGGAACCTGGGCTTCTCCAGAGCGCTGGGTCAGTCAGCGGAGTGTCTGCGAGGAGTCAGGCATTGATCTGAAGTCCAGACCAGGCTCCGTGACTTTGTGAAACACTGTGTTTATAGCACAAAATCCTTCTGAAAACTCTCTTCGCCTTTTCAAAACGGCATCTTCATGCCTCGGTAAGCTGTACAATCCGATTTCAGTTTCTCAGACAATTGCGCTCGCGTTTTCAGCTGTCAGTCTGTGAACCCCCCCGAGCCCGGCACTGATAGGTGGCCATTAGAACCTGTCACTAACATGAATATCAACACTGGCAAGAAGCATGTGATCCAAAGACTAGAGCACCACCGGCTCCGAGAAGACCTTTCCTTCGAAGCGTTAAGAGGTTAAGGAAATGCCAAGCCTTTGGTCCACATCTCCTTGCCACAGCATTTCTGAGCTATCTGTGGTGAAAATTCAATAGCTAAGACCCTCACGGGTCTTTCTCAGAGGTCAGAACCCTGAGCAAAGGTGCCCCCAGGCCCAGGTGGCCCCCGGAAAAGGATATGATTCTCCAGCAGATGCCCAGCTTACTGTGGATCTCCAGGCCTCGGGCTTCCCGCCGCTCTTCCTCCAGCTGCTTGGGGTTTGCAAATTGCCCCTTCTCCCCAGGGGACTCCGGGAAACTCTCAAAGTTGAACTTGTCCACTTGAATAGCCATTCTACGAGAAAGCGGAAAACACAGCAGAGAATTCATCAGCAGGGCAATTTCTGTCGGTTGTTGGAGAATCAGCACATGCCAGCGTGAGACACTATAATGAATCATTATCGTTAGTAATTCATAATGGATTCATTCCAAGAAAATGAAATAATAGACTCCCAAGGTGGCCCTGACTTCAGAGCTGGTTCAACACACAATTTGGAGCTGAAGACACAGTCATTGCTTCAAACCTCTGGGAAGACCTGTGTTACCCCAGACAAAAATTTCAGTTCCATAACACAGCAAGGCAGGGAAGAACCAATGTGCCATAGACAGTGAGCTGGATGGCGACTTACAGTCCTGTGCAGACAGTCATGGAGAACGCTGACAATTATTTAACCCTGGGGACCCATCGGCCCACTGGGAACTTCCTGTTTATCCTCTGAGTGCTGCCTGCCTCCTCCCCCCACCCTTTCCTTCTCAGGCAGGTGGGCGTGCCCCTCCCACAGCCCCCTTCAGCTCTCATTTGCAATGGCTGTATTTACCCAATGTCTGTACCCTCACTGTATCTAGGAAATAATTAGCTTGCTTTTGATTTTACAGGTTCACAGGCGGAAGGGACTTGCCTTGTCTCAGATGAGACTTTAGACTGTGGACTTTTGAGTTAATGCTGAAATTAGTTAAGACTTTGGGGACTGTTGGGAAGGCATGATTTGTTTTGAAATGTGAAGATATGAGATTTGGGAGGGCCAGGGGCAGAATGATATAGCTTGGCTGTGTCCCCACCCAAATCTCATCTTGAATTGTACTCCCATAATTCCCACGTGTTGTGGGAGGGACCTGGTGGGAGATAATTAAACCACGGGGCCAGTTTCCCCCATACTGTTCTCATGGTAGTGAATAAATCTCACAGGATCTGATGGTTTTATAAGGGGGAGTTTCCCGCTGCCACCCATGTACAACGTGACTTGCTCCTCCTTGCCTTCCACCATGATTGTGAGGCTTCCCCAGCAATGTGGAACTGTAAATCCAATTAAACCTCTTTCTTTTCTAAATTGCCCAGTCTCTGGTACGTCTTCATCAGCAGTGTGAAAACAAACTAATACAATGACTGAGGGTTCATCAGTCAATGGATAAGAGTAGGCGTTTTGGCCCAGGCACAGCGGCTCATGCCTGTAATCCCAGCACTTTGGGAGGCCGAGGCAGGCAGAATCACTTGAGGTCAGGAGTTTGAGACCAGCCTGGCCAACATGCTGAAACCCTATCTCTATTAAAAATACAAAAATAAGCCAGGCGTGGTGACGCACACCTGTAGTCCCAGCTACTCAGGAGGTTGAGTCAGGAGAATCACCTGAACCAAGGAGGCGGAAGTTGCAGTGAGCCAAGATGGTGCCACTGCACTCCAGCCTAAATGGCAGAGCGAGATCCCGTCTAAAAAAAAAAAAAAAAAAAAAAAGAAAAGTAGGCCTTTTTTATTATTGCACAGACTGTGCTACGGCCAAAATATTCAGCAAAACCATGCTCTAATTGGCCTCTGTGGCTAGTCCCTTGAACAAGCAAGAAATAAGAGGACCTGCTCTTAAGGGGATATAAAGACAAGATTAAACCCAAAGAAGTAGTCTCGGTCTCCAGGACAGCTTGGGAAAGAACTACTGCAGTGTCAATAAATCTCTAGCATTCGGCCTGAGGCATCATGTGCGGGGCTGAGCCCCAGAAGAGCTAGAGACGCTCCCCGTAAGCAGAGAACGGTGCTTTTGTTGCAAAATATGGCTTTTTAAAAAATCACTTTTACTATTATTTTCTGGTTATCTAAGTAGATAGCTTAAATAGTTGGAAGACAGAAAAAGCATAAAAAAGAAAATAAAAGCATTCAAATATTATACTCCAATGTTAATATCTTTACAGTCTTTTCCCTAAGTATTTGTATTTAACATAGTTTAAAATCACTACATATATAAATCATGATGTATCATATACACAAAGAAATACACCACACACATAGTTTGACGTCTTGTTTTATTCCTTTAATATGCCATGAACATATTCCCATCATTAAAAATTAGTCTGCGAAATATTCTATCTTAGGGTGTGTCGTAGCCTACAGAACGGTTCTCCTACTTTTTGGACTCCCTGCTCTTTTTCACGTTTTAAAAAAAATGACTGCTGTAGAAAAAGGCCTGACAAACACCTTTGTGCTGAGTGTTTCTGTCTGCACTTATGACTGACTCTCAGGATCTGTTTCCAGAAGTGGCGCCACTGATTGGAGGGTGTGAGGTGCTTCAGGCTCAGAGGAATCTTCCAGAAGCTCATCCCTGAGCAGCACGGACAGGCCTGTCTCCCTCTCTGCACCACGGCCAATACTGGCGATGATCAGTTTTTAATCTCTGCAGTAATAGGCAAAATGCCACCTCACTGATGTTTGAATGTGCAGGTCTGAATTCCCCCTCAGGTTGAACATTTTTTCAGAAGCTTACTAACCATGTCTCTTTCTTCCCTTGTGAGTAACCTACCCGTGCAGCGAGAGCTTCTAATTTTCCACCCAGCAAAAAGCTCCTCTTACTTCCCCACCTCAGAGGCAGATTGAAGCAAACTAGTGCTCTCTTCAAACAAAAGGTCAGAATATTTCCTAAGTTTTGCTAAAAAGGCCAGCTTAAGTTCACTGCTTGATAATCCAAAAGGAACTAATAACTTTCACCTCTCAGTTGAGTTTGACAATAGTCCCCTGTACCAAGTTCTCTTCCTGTTGAACACGGAAGGGAGAAGCAGCCAACAGGCAGCTCCCTGGGTCAGAGCACACACCGGATGCTGCGGCCACTGGAACTACATTTGTGTGATTATCTGGGGGTATCTTTCAAACAATTTCTGGTTGAGTAATCATCATACTCTATTACCCACCTCCAACCTTAACAAAACTGTAGCCAACTCTGCCCATAAAACAGAAAAGGGAAGAAAACAAAATGTAAGGAGCACGTGCTGTGTGCCAAGCCCGGCCCTGGGTGTTCTGTGTGCATGCTCATCTTTTTTAACTGACAGCCAGCCCAGGGAAGGCCGTGCTCTGCTTCATGTTACAGATGACAGGCTGCAGCTCTCAGTGTCCAAGCCATCTGGCCCGACACCACGGAGCTAGCAAGCCTCGCTCAGAGCCTGGGTCACAGACTCCGTCCTCTGTGTTTTGTCTTGAGTTTTACTCGGCTCTGCTTTGCTTGGGCAGGACACCTAATGAGAGATCATTTCTTGCTCATGCTGTTTGCAGAGCAGCATGGGACAGAGACCCTGGAACTGCAGAGACCCTGCCCCCAACAGGCCTCTGCTGCTTGTGTTAATGGCCAACCGCTTCCCACATTTATAATCACCCTCTCCTCTGCAGCCCTGGGACGGGCGACAAAGGCAGCATTCCTTTTCCTGCAGTGACAAAACTGGCCTACCAAGAAATTGAGTGACTCACCTAAGGTCAACCAGCTTCAAGTCCTATTGCCAGAATTCCGAGAGCCAAGGATGAATTTCCCAAACCACAGAGGAGCTCTACCTAATACCTCTATCCACCTCTAATACTTCTATCCACGTGGTCCCAGGCACAGCCCCTAAACCCAAGCCCCCTTCTCCTGGTTCCTCCCCACCAGGAAGTGATGGCAGCCCTGTGACTGTTAACCTGGCAAACTGCAATAGGTTTTCCCATGGAGGAGTCCTCACACCTGAGGTCACCTCTGCCGGAAGACACCATTGTGTTGTGTGCAGCAGCTGCAAGGCCTGCATCATAGAAGGTGAGAGCCCCTGGCTGGCTGCCCTGGTAGGTGACCTTGCTCTATATTCAGTGGCAGCACTGCCAGAACTTTAAATGAGAGCCAAGGCCATTAGGTTTGAGGCTTGTCACTCATGTGGAGAGTAGAGCTCCCGATGATGGTGGGTGGCTGGAGAGAGGTAGACAGGGTGTCTGCCCCACAGGGAGTGCCAGAGGGCTTGTGGGGTGGTGGCACTTGGCTGAGAGGCTCACAGGGAGACGACCTGCAGGCAGGGACACCTGGGTGTTGGAAGGTAAGGAAGAAACCCAGGGCCACCAAGGGGCCCGAAGTTGAGACCACCTACTGCAGTCGTTGTCTTCCAGAGGGGAAGGGTGGAAGGTGCTGAGGTGTGGCTGGCAGTGGCCTGTCCATTATGGTGGGTACCGGGTGGCAGCACAGCGGGAGATGGCGGCAGGCTTCGGAGCCCACCACCTGGGCTGGATGCCCAGCTCGGCTTGGAGGTGACTTTGGGGCGAGGCCTGGCACTTCCCTGAGCATCTCTGCGGAATGCAGTCAGCGCCACCTGCACCTAACAGCTGGGAGGGTTTGCAAGTTCTTAGCACCAGCAGCAGGGTCTACCATCACCAGCCCACACTCCATGACCACCTGAGTGCCTTGATGGCTCCGTAACGACTTTCTCAATGAGCAAGTTGCTTTTCATAACAACAACAAAGCAAGGACACTGTGATGCCACATTCATGCCACCGTCCTCAGCACTTGGCCCCCGCGGCCTCAGAAGCCTGCTCACCTGCAGGTGTGGTTTGCATGCGGCAGCACATCCCTCCTCACCCTGGGTTTAAGCTTAAACACACAGGTGAGGTCTTATGTTGGGGTGAGTGACACATCAGAGAATATTCATTTTCTGATGGAATATTCAATTTCCCATCAGAACGTATCCAAAAAGTGATTCGGAACCATGGCTGATGCTCTGACAAGCCACAGCAAAGTGGTGGGAAATCATTATATTTGGAAACTGCGTGGAAAAGGTGAGTGAGGAAACCTGCGCAGAACTAACGGTCAAGTCACCTGCCTCGTCTGCAGCGGGTGTTGGCAGGAATGGCCTTTTGGGCGGGCTCCCAGAGGGTGGCGGTGCCAGACCTGGCCCAGGGGTCTGCCCAGTATGGTAACAGCCTTTGAGTGATGCCTTTTCGCTACAGTGGGTTCTAATGTTATTATTTTGATTTTTTTTTTTTTTTTTTTTTTGAGATAGAGTCTTGCTTTGTCGGCCAGGCTGGAGTGCAGT